AAAAAGGCACGGTCGGCTGGGCGTGGTGGTTCACACCTGTAATCCTAGCACTTTGAGAGGCTGAGGTGGGCCAATCACTCGAGGTAGGAGCTCGAGACCAGCCTGGCCAACATGGTGAAACCCTGTTTCTACTAAAATTACAAAAATTAGCCAGGCGTGGTGGCGTGTGCCTGTAACCCCAGCTACTTGGGAGGCTGAGGCAGGAGAATAATGTCAAAAGTCACAGAGAAGGAAAGCAGTGGAAAGTCTCTCACTGTATTTGACAACTGGAGCTACAGTACTTTCAGAGTAAGTTTCAGTGGGGACGCTGGGGAAGCAGCACAGGCTGAAGCACACATGGTGGGGAAGGTGGAGACACAAATGGCACAGTGATTCTTTTTTTTTTTTTTGAGATGGAGTCTTGCTCTGTCCCCCTGGCTGGAGTGCAGTGGCGCGATCTTGGCTCACTGCAAGCTCCGCCTCCCGGGTTCCCGTCATTCTCCTGCCTCAGCCTCCCGAGTAGCTGGGACTACAGGCGCCCACAACCGCGTCCGGCTAAGTTTTTGTATTTTTAGTAGAGACGGGGTTTCACCGTGGTCTCGATCTCCTGACCTTGTGATCCGCCCGCCTCAGCCTCCCAAAGTGCTGGGATTACAGGCGTGAGCCACCGCACCCGGCCGGCACAGTGATTCTTTTAAGCCTGTATGTGCCTGTGCACAGGTAAGAAATGTCCATCCATGCAGGTAAGAAAGGACGTGGGGGCTGGGGTGGGATATAAGGGTTGAGACAAAAGAGAGCGAACCACATTTATACAAAAGGGAAGAAGTTATGAGACAGAAAGAGGCTGAAAACACACAAAATGCAGTGATGACGAGGAGCAGTGCCCATGAGGAGGATGGGAACGAAGGATTCGGCTAGGACAGAGGGAGGGGAGGCTTCTCTCCTGGGACTTTAGGGAAGGCTAGGGGCAAAAGAGAGTGAGTTTCCAGGTGCTAGAACATGAAGCTGAGGTGGTATTTCCTGATTTTTACAACTTTCATCTGTAGAACTGAAAGCAGGACGACATTCTGAGTGTGGTGAGGGGCTCTGAGAGACGATTCACTTGGTGCAGAGCTGGAGCAGAGTGGCAGCGGAGCCGAAGAGGGCATGAGGACAGCAAGGCAACCCCAAGCCCACCTGACGCCGGAGTCCACCCAAGGCACACGCTCATGTGCCCAAAGGGCAGAGAGGACGAATGACTGACTTTTCCCAAGCTGGAGCTTCACAAAATGGTGAAATTAAAAAATCCACAGAGTTATTTTTTAAACATAACAACAGCAAGGAAGTTATTAATAGTTAGGTTAGAGGATGACGTAGTATGCTACACTACATTTTTTAATCGAAATTTCAATTCAGTACATTTCCAACTTCACAACACATGAAAAAGTCAACTAAGGATCCTGCTGAAGTCAAAGAGCAGGTGCAGTGGGATGCCAGTGAAAGCTGGAATGACAGAAAGTAGCCCTGGAGGCAGCAGAGTTTCAGATTTCAGAGGGGAACATGACTAAAGGTCAATGTCACTGGAGCTGAACAGGTCTAGGACTCCAGTGCAATGAGCCGTAGTTCTTTCCCAGAGACATGAAGTCACCCAGACTGAGGAAGGTGGAAGGAGAAAGACAGCGACTGACTGAAGTCAGGAGAGGAGAGGCGCCAGGGTGGTGTGGGGACATGCTGGCCCCACAAGCCTTGGAAGGGATCATTTCCATTTGCAGGCTGAAGCGTATTGGCTCAGACTAGAAAATCCTGTGGCTACGTGAGAAGCAAGAACAAGCAGTCTCCATCTGAGAGATCAGCAGAACATGGCTTACTAGGGAGGCGTGTGTGGGGAGGGAGGGGGCAAAGAAGAAGAAGAGTAGGGAGAACATGCACCGCGGGCTGTTCCCAGTAGAGCACAGTCCCAGTGGACAACCACTGTGTGGCCCGCAGGAGGGAAGCTCGGTTCTCTCAAGGCTAAGTGCTTTTCAATGAGAAGGCGTACAGGAAGAGCCTGGCACCAACGATGATGGAGGGAGCCTGACACGCACATTTTAAACAGTCTCTCTGCAGCCTTCAACTGCAGGTATACAACTAAGTCCAAAAGCTAAGGAGACAAATCGTAATACAACTAAGTCTAAAAGCTAAGGAGACAAATCGTAATACAATTAAGTCCAAAAGCTAAGGAGACAAATCGTAATACAATTAAGTCCAAAAGCTAAGGAGACAAATCGTAAGAGTTTTATTGATGTATATACTTGAGGATAACTTAAGTTACAAATGTTTTTACTTCAAAATAAAAGGTCTCCATTCCAGTTAAAAAAAAAATTATCAGCAGGGCGTGGTGGCTCATGATTGTAATCCCAGCACTTTGGGAGACCGCGGCAGGTGGATCACCTGAGGTCAGGAGTTCAAGACCAGCCTGGCCAACATGGTGAAACCCCATCTCTACTAAAAATACAAAAATAAACCGGGCGTGGTGGTGCACACCTGTAATCCCAGCTACTCGGGAGGCTGAGGCAGGAGAATCGCTTGAATCCAGGAGGCAGGGGTTTGCAGTGAGCCAAGATCATGCCACTGCACTCCAGCCTGGGTAACAGAGTGAGATGCCCTCTCAAACAAACAAACAAAAATCCCATTTAGATCAATTTGATAAAACTAATTACAGGACTCAAATGTAGTGTAGTACATCCAATAACTGCAATTACAACAAATATATATAAATTAAAGGCAATACCAGGTTGGGGAAGGAGGATGCAAGCAAGGAGACTGTGGCCCCAGAAAGGCTGTGCAAGTGACCTTGTGACAGGAAAGCTCCACTGGTCTGCATCCAGACTGTGGTGGTGATCCCAGGAATCTACACGTGATAAAACTGCACAGAACTTACACACACACAAATGAGTGCATGTAAAACTGGTGAAACCTGGACGGACTGTATTGTTTCAGGTTTCCAGATGTAATATTGGACTGTAGCTATGCAAGATGGTACCACTGGGGGAAACTAGGTAAGGGGTATACTCGCTCTTTCTGTATTATTTCTTACAACTGCATCTAAATCTACAATTTTCAAAATAAAAAGTTTTTTAAAAAATTAAAAGCATCAAAGCAAGGTGTAAAACTGGAAAATACTGTCTTCAAAACTCATGGTAACATTAGAGAATTATTCTCTCCAGCTCAGTGATTCTCAGAGATTTGGAGGCAGGGAAAGGGCACCTAAGTATTAGAATTACTGCCCACACCCGCTATTCCCTGAACACACACCCACACCAGAACTGCCACCGTCATAAGCCACGTTTCAGAGGAAGTGGGTCATATCTTCAAGTGTGCTGCAACTAAAGAAAATGGAAAACCACTCTTCTAGCTACTTATCTTTAAGAACACTTCTAACTGGTAGTAAAGAAAAAAGCATGTAAGAGAAACATAGTATTGAATAGTAATTTATAACAAACAGGAACTATTTTGAGAGACTGCTTCTCATTTGATTTGCCCAAAATCAGCCAATACACCCTTCTTGGAAATGTACTTGGTCAACATAAGAAAAACATTCTATTCATGTAAGAATAAAAATAAGGACTTTTTTTTCCAGTAACTGATGGATTTTTCAGTGGTACATTCAGACCCTAAATATCTTGCCTATAACCAATGACTACAAAGTATATAAAAGTATACAGTCTGTGTCCTTGAACAGAGTGAAATCGTTCAACTTACATAGGAGATCTTTTTTTTTTTTTTTTAGACGGAGTCTCACTCTATCGCCCAGGCTGGAGTGCAGTGGCCGGGTCGCAGCTCACTGCAAGCTCCGCCTCCTGGGTTCAGGCCATTCTTCAGCCTCCCGAGTAACTGGGACTACAGGCGCCCGCCACCTCACCCGGCTAGTTTTTTGTATTTTTTTTTTTAGTAGAGACGGGGTTTCACTGGGTTAGCCAGGATGGTCTCGATCTCCTGACCTCGTGATCCGCCCGTCTCAGCCTCCCAAAGTGCTGGGATTACAGGCTTGAGCCACCGCGCCCGGCCAGGAGATCTTAATAGGCAGCGCCATACCCTAGTCAACAGGGGAACAACCAGAAACAAGCAACAACCAGAACATGATCAATCTGATACTGTTTTTCAAGTCCCTACTAACAAGGAGCCCTGAAGAGAAAACCTACATTTAGCCCACTAAAATCAAACATAGGGAAACATGCTGAAGCAGGAAGGAGGCCCAATTTAATATCTGCATAAGCTGCACGAATCAGAACAAAAAATAAAATCACTGCATGACAAATACACCAACACTCTAGTGTTATAATTGTTCGCACAATTGTGTGGGTATGTGTGTACATCATAATCTAAATGTCCAACAACAGGGGAACTTATGCAAGAGTGGTATATCCAAAGCCACTGTCAAAGCAATTAAAAATTGTGTCTATAATAAAAAAAGTTTACAATGTACTGATAAGAAGAGCTACAAATAAGTATGTGCAAGATTCTAATTTTCCATTTAAAATGTTTATTTTTAAAAACTCCAAAGAATATAAACCTGTTATTATTTATTTTTAAATAAGTTTGTTCCTTATACTTTTCTCTGTTTTCTAAGTTTTCTACAGTGAGTACATACTACTCTTATAACTTGGGCAAGGAAAGAAACCAAACTACACCAATAACTATTTTAAGTAAAACTTACAAAGGCCATGGAATAATATGAAAAGGAAATATATATGGATATTATATAGACATCTATAATTACAATTATTTTAAAGAAAGAAAAATTGTGTATAAGAAAAACAGGTTGGTGGGAAATACACCAAAATAATGGTGCCTATGTTTGAAGGATGAAATAATTATGGGTAATTATTTTTTCTTCTACTATTCTACGCCTTTAAATTCTTCTTTAAAGAATGTGTCTTATGTAAACAGGAAAAAAAAATATTGTATTTATCAACACTGATCCCAAGCCCTCCTTTTCACTACATCCTGCGTCCTAAAACAAACCAAAAAATACACATGCACACAAACCCACAAGTACTTACATGGGCTTACATCTCTGTATCTGTTTCGATTTCTGTTTTCTGGAAACTTGGCCACTCTATGAGGATAGTCATGGGACTCATTTCGAATTTCCTTAAAATAACAAAAATATATTTTAATATCCCTCTTAAATTTTCCACAGCAAAACATCATCTTCCCAGCCAGTATAAAATAACATTAAGCACTTATGATATGCCAAGTACTATGCAAAGCACGCTGTCTACATCACCTCAGTTAATCCTCACAATACTAATGGAAACGATTTCTTTCCCATTTTATCTGAGGGATGAAAGGTTTACAAAGGTTAAAAATCCACCAAAGGTCCCATAGCTAGTAAGTGCCAGCCCCAGGACTGAACCAAGGTCCTCCAGATGCCAAAGTCTGTGCTCTAGATCTGTTTACTTACTGCTAATGAGGCTCCATTCAATCCCTACAAGCAAGCATCAAACTCTCTACGAAGCAGAATTAATGCAATGGAGGTATCTATGGTCAGCCACATCACATTCAAATTCTGATGAAAACTCATACCATCTACCTAAATTTTGGAGTTTCTACCTGAAAATATTTATTTCTTCATCTTCATGCTATTTAACTGTTACTTTATTTTGAACCCAGAAATATCCTCAAATTTTATTTCTATCATGTTTGTCATTACTTCTCCTTAAAAAAAAAAAAATTATTTCTAAAGCCATAAATGTTCAGCAACAGGCCTCACACCTATAATCCCAACACTTTGGGAAGCCAAGGTAGGCGGATCACCTGAGGTCAGGAGTTCGAGACCAGCCTGGTCAACATTGTGAAACCCCAGCTCTATGAAAAATACAAAAATTTGGTCGGGCGCAGTGGCTCACACCTGTAATCCCAACACTTTAGGAGGCTAGGGCAGGGGATCACCCTCAGGTGTTTGAGACCAACCTGGCCAACATAGCGAAACCCTGTCTCTACTAAATACACAAAAAATCAGCTAGGTGTGGTGATGGGCACCTGTAATCCCAGCCACTCGGAGGGCTGAGGCAGGAGAATTGCTTGAACCCGGGAGGTGGAGGTTGCAATGAGCTGAGATCATGCCATTGCACTCCAGCCTGGGTGACAGAGCAAGATTCTATCAAAAATAACATAACATAACATAACATAAAATACAAAAATACAAAAATTAGGCTGGACACAGTGGCTCACACCTGTAATCCCAGCACTTTGGGAGGCCAAGGTGGGTGGTTCACAAGGTCAGGAGTTCAAGACCAGCCTGGCCAAGATGGTGAAACCTCATCTCTACTGAAACTACAAAAATTAGCCAGGCACGGTGGCAGGCACCCGTAATCCCAGCTACTTAGGAGGCTGAGGCAGGCGAATTGCTTGAACCTGGGTGGCAGAGGTTGCAGTGAGCCGAGGTCGCATCACTGTACTCTAGCCTAGGTGACAGAGTGAGACAGCAAAAACAAAACAAAACAAAAATTAGCCAGGCATGGTGGCAAGCACCTGTAATCCCAGCTACGCAGGAGGCTGAGGCATGAGAATCACTAAACCCGGGAGGCGGAGATCGCAGTGAGCTGAGATTGCACCACTGCAACAACCAGCAGGCCTGAGGCTCATCCTAGGTGCCTTCGGGTTCTCTGCACTTCAACGTGGAAGACATTCTGTAAGGCTATATCTGCACTAAGCTCTCACTACTGAGGTATCCAGAATGGTCAGGTTTGACCTTCCAGGAAACAGTATTCCAAGAAATAAAGTAAATACAGAAGTGTAACAGAAACCAAAAAAAAAGCATGCTTTAATGGCAAACTAAATTGTGCTTTGCTCACACTATCACATGTAAGAAGAAGCATTTTAAAAGTTAGGTGCCATTTTGTTTATTTGTTTTTATAGAAACAGGGTCTCACTTTTTGCCCAGGCTGGTCTAGAACACCTGGGCTCAAGTGAGCTGCCTGCCTCAGCCTCCCAAAGTGCTGGGATTACAGGTTTGAGCCATCACTGTCAGCCAAGTATCTGAAGTTTTTATTTAGGGAACATGATGCACAAATTTCTAATATATACATTTTTCTGGACGTAAATGGACTGGTAACGGTACTTTTGCAAGATACAAGACACTGTTATTAGCCTGCAATGTGGAAGAGAAATTCAATTGTATCCCTTTCAAATGGAAAGTTAATTGACTTAATACCATTTACTGGTTTCTGCATTTATCAGTAACACCTGCTCTACCATAAACCAAGTTTCAGCACAGCAGGGGTCTGTTTCTGGATCCTCATTCTACTTCACAGAAGCATTTGCCTGCCCTTGAGACAGTATCAAATTTTAGTTACTACAGCTTTGTAATCAATGTATCTGGAAGGCAAGTTGTCCCCTTTTTATTTTCCCCATTTGCATTGCAGTTCATGATATTTTAATTAATTTTGTAGTTTTCTTCATAAAGGTATGCTAAAGGTTAGCATAAATGTATGTTAAAAGTTTATTCTCAGAAACCTGATAGGCTTTGTTGCTACTGTAAATGGGATTAAAACAAAACAAAAACCTATTGGCCATTACTAGTGTATGGGAAAGATACTGAATTACGGGGAGAGGAGGTTTAAAACAACAAGCAGCACAGGACTCCCTCCACTTCTTCCACTTCTGTGATACACACCCATTTTCCACACTTAAGGCCATCTATCAGGTGCAGATTTCTATTTTTAGCTCAGAGAAACACACTTCTTTGTGTGCACTATACAAAAGACGGTAGGGCCCCCCAGTATAGTGGTAGGGAGATTTAAAATTTACAAAACACAACACAACAGCCAAGTTCTTGGGGTTAAGAAATATATTCATAACATAAATATTTTATTTTCTCAGCTAGTAAGATCTCTTGCATTGAGTCCATTCTTTCAAATCTCCAACATTAATCATTTGTTCTACTTACTTTATAAAAAAATTTCAGTGAACTTAGAAGAACCAGTATTTCGGGCCGGGCGCGGTGGCTGACGCCTGTAATCCCAGCACTTTGGGAGGCCGAGGCGGGTGGATCACAAGGTCAGGAGATCGAGACCATCGTGGCTAACACGGTGAAACCCTGTCTCTACTAAAAATACAAAAAATTAGCCGGGTGTGGTGGTGCACGCCTGTAGTCCCAGCTACTTGGAGGCTGAGGCAGGAGAATGGCATGAACCCGGGAGGCGGAGTTTGCAGTAAGCAGAGATCACGCCACCGCACTCCAGCCTGGGCGACAAAGCAAGACTCCGTCTCAAAAAAAAAAAAAAAAAAAAAAAAAAAAAGAAGAAGAACCAGTATTTCAAAAAGCAGCTCCCAGAGATGCATAATAGCTGTTTATTCCAATATGCTCTTTCTCTTTCTTTCTTTTTTTTGAGGCAAAGGCTCACTCAGTTGCCCAGGCTGGAGTGCAGCGGTGCAATCTTGGCTCACTGCAACCTCCGCTTCCCGGGTTCAAGAGGTTCTCCTGCCTCAGCCTCTTGAGTAGCTGGGATTACAGGCATGTGCCACCGTGCCTGGCTAATTTTTGTATTTCTAGTAGGGACAGAGTTTCACTACGTTGGCCATGCTGGTCTCGAACTCTTGATCTTAAATGATTTGGCTGCCTCAACCTCCCAAAGTGCTGAAATTACAGGTGTGAGCCACCGCGCACAGCCCCAATATCCTTTCTTTCTTACTAAAGGTATCTGCTTTTGCTTTCTGACCACAATGAGCCCAGCTGAAAACTAACTGTCCCAGCCTCTAAGGTCCTGTGACAGTCTGGCCAATGGGAACAAGCAGAAACCACTGGCTGGGCTGCAGGAAAACGTTGACAAAGAAGACTGGCTCCAGGTACCTTTGTCCTCACTGCTGCCTGCCTGGAACACAGGTTTTGCTGTCGGGGTGAGGGGTGGGAACAGGCAGGAGCCATCCTGTGACAAGGTAAAATGTACATTCCTAAGAAAGCTAAGCAGAAATATCAGCATTGGGTCATGGGTGACATCAAGAAGCCACAGTAAGAGCCCTGAATTCTCTCTCCAGAATTCATATCACATGAGAATCCTGAACTCCTATTTGTTAAATCAGTTACTGATGAATTTTCTTTCCAATGTAGCTAAATTAGGTCTGTAACTAATATACACAGCAAAACCAAATCTCAACAACTAGACCTGTCACTGATGAGGCATTTTCAGGAATACCCAAGACACAAAACTAAATAATTTCATAAGCACACTGGCCGGGCGCGGTGGCTCACGCCTGTAATCCCAGCACTTTGGGAGGCCGAGACGGGCGGATCACGAGGTCGGGAGATGGAGACCATCCTGGCTAACATGGTGAAACCCCGTCTCTACTAAAAATACAAAAAAATTAGCCGGGCATTGTCACAGGCACCTGTAGTCCCAGCTACTCGGGAGGCTGAGGCAGGAGAATGGCGTGAACCTGGGAGGCGGAGTTTGCAGTGAGCCGAGATCGCGCCACTGCACTCCAGCCTGGACGACACAGCGAGACTCCCTTTCAAAATAAAAAAAAAAAAAATGTATTAAGTTCATTGCATAAGCTATAAAATATATTGTGTCTGTCTAACTGGCACTGGGAAAGCAGACAGCTGAGCTATTCGCTGGGTCTATCACATAAGGCAAAGCCAGCTCTACTTGTCTTCTGGTGCTAAAACTTTCCCCTTCAATCACAGAGACGTTCTGACTGTTTCCTTCCGGGCACAGCAGCTCCCATCTGTAATCCTGGTGTTTTGGGAGGCCCAGGTGGAAGGATCACTTGAGGGTAGGAGTTTGACACCAGCCTGGGCAACACAGTGAGACAGCAGCTCGGCCAAAAAAAAAATGTTAATTAACCAGAGATGGCGGTGCATGTGTGGAGTTCCAGCTTCTCGGGAGGCAGAGGCAGGAGGACTGCCTGAACCCAGGAGTTCAAGACTGCAGTGACCTAGGATCCTGCCACTGCACTCTAGCCTGGGCAACAAAGTAAGGCCCTGTCAAAAAAAAAACAAAAAAAACAAAGAGAATGTTTCCCATCAGCAGTGAAGCCGGTAAATCCAAGGTTTCTGAGCCTCAGCACTACTGACATTTTAGACCGATTTTGGCGGGGGGAGCCAGTGGGGGCTGCCTTGAGTATAGCAGGATGTTAGGAAGCAGCAT